TTAAAGAGTTACAATTTTTTTAAGAATTATTTTTTAGGGAATTTTTTCACAGAGGTCACATGATCAAATCTTTTATTCCTATTGTTTTAAAGATGGCACCATTGTGGTACTCTTTGTATAGGAATTTGGCATGTACGTTTAAAACATATTTATCAATATCTCTGAGATGCAGAATCCAACAGCGATGAAATTTTGTATATACCTCCGCAAGATACAATAGATTGTAATTAATATTTTCTTGACATTATTAATCATATTTTAAATATGCAAATTTATGCAAATTTATTCAATTATATGGGAAATGGTGATATCCCTTGAATTAAATGAGTCAGAAATCTAGTTTTCACAAATGTTATGCATATCTTTGCAAGATACAGGAATTTGTAATTCATATTTCTTGACATTAGTGTGTAATAATTAAATATGCAAATTTATGCAAATTTATGCAAATTTATTCAATTATATGGGAAATGGTGATATCCCTTGAATTAAATGAGTCAGAAATCTAGTTTTCACAAATGTTATGCATATCTTTGCAAGATACAGGAATTTGTAATTCATATTTCTTGACATTAGTGAGTAATAATTAAATATGCAAATTTATGCGAATTTATTCAATAAAATGAAAAAACTATGATATCCCTTAAATTTAAGGAATCAGACATTTTTTTTCTCACATTATTGTGTACTTATCTTTGCAAGATACAATATATTTTAATTCAAGGTTTTTCAAATTTATACAGAAATGTAATCCTTGTTTTCAAATAAAGAAAAACAAACACATGTACAGCTTTATGCACACCGCCAAACATGAATGCTCACACACTCACTTACAAACATAACCACATACGGACAAATACACACACAATAACAATTAACAGAGACTTCCAACTTTCATACCATACAAGTTTCCAAACATATAAGTACATACAATAAAGACTAATATATTTAATGTTTGAATTTGTTCTTATTTATTTGCTATTCTTTTCTTTAAAGGTTGGTTCCATTGCATTTTCTTTGTAATTATTTTTGTTTTGTTACATCTTCTTTGCATGATAATTTGTTTTGGTTCCGTCACAACTTCTCGGGTATACTTCAATTTTCAATTTGCACCAAATTAAAATTAATTTGTTCTAGTTAAAGTTAACACTGCTCAGCTTTGACTTGTGAGATTGACTCAAATGTTACTAATCACTTGATCAGAAAATAATATTAAACAATTCATTCCTTCTTGTTCTGCTCAGCTTCGAATTTTCAGATTAACTGCTTTCAAATGTTACTAATCAGTTGATCAGAAATGAATATTAAACAATTCCTTCTTGCTCAACCTAATACTGCTCAGTTTTGAATTCTCTTTTCAAACTTTATTAATCGCTTGAGCAGAAATCAATCTTTCACAATTAATTCATTCTTCTTCAAGTCAGATAGAAGGTTGTACTCCTTGAGTTCATCCTCATCCTCATAATCAATGAAGAAGAGGGTCTTCAGGTTATCAGTCTTGTAAGAACTAATACCAGTCACCACACCATGGATCCAGACTTTCACATGTTCAATTAGGAAGACGTGTTCGATCCTCTTGCCTACAAGTAACTCTGGGTTCAGAAGAAGTTCATCCAGATATTGTTTTGATGCAATTGCTGCTCTCTTCTTCTTTTCCTCTTCTATTTTTTTGAACATCTTATTTTTCTGCTCTTGAAAGCTTTCAACTTGATCTTCAGGTGCTGTGTACTCGAAGCTGCTTCCAGCACTGCTTTCCCTTTGCTGAATTGCAGCGGCTTCTACTGGGTCAGGTTGTGGTTGGGTTTGTAGATTGTTGTGCTTCACAACATCTACTAAATGTTGCATCATCTCTCCTCTTGTAAACGGCTGCCCTTGATGAGATAGCTGGAAATGTTCTTTTGACGGACCTTGACATTTAAGGACCTTCTGTAAGAATAACAGCTGTGTGTACAGTATTCTTCTTATTTGTTCGTCTGATTTTGTGCTCTCAATGTCTCCAACCATCTCTGTTATCTTCTGCTCTGAAGTCCACACTCCACCAAGCTCAACTACTTCATTGACCAAGTCTGCTGTCGACTTCATTCTCTTTTCCTCAAGATCCTTCCTCTTTTGTGATGCCTTTTGAAGAGCTTCCCATTTCTGCTGTTTGATAGCCTTCTTCCGTTCGGCATATCTCCTAAGAACATCGTCTGAGCACTGCCTTGCCGCCTTCATATATTTCCCTCTTTCTTTCTCTGACAGAGAGTCAAGCCACTCCGGCATCTTATTGTTGGTCCACATGATGAGTGCTTCAAGAGTGGTGATTCTGGCAGAGGGTTTTTTGCGGACAAGCAGATCGAGTTGTGCAAAATCCCTCTCTCCGATCATGTTGGTGCTTGGGACATTGTGGTATGCTGCCTTGACGTCATCAGCCAGGTCCCAATACTTTCCTCCAGGTAGCTGGTCTTTGCACTGGCGTTGAAGGATGAGCAGGACAGCACAGCTTATCAACTCAAGGGCTTGGGTGGTCAGCATCTCTGCTTCAGCATCAGTACTGTCTAGGAGCTTCTTTGAGATGTCATCTCCTGTGCTAATGTTGAAGGGGCTGTCACCTGCCAGGAGAGGGGATGCGTCTTCCTTCCATACCATGAGCTTGGTTTGGAGTTGATGGAGTGGCTCATTCGTGTCGAAAATGTTGCCCGAGCTGATAATCCTTTCCCAAAGGGGCTTGATGGCAGCGATGTAAAATATGCCAAGTGCTCGTATCTCGGCCACCAAGAGCTTCTCATTGATGTCCTCTTCGATTGCCAGGAGAAGGTTGTTACGATTTTGAATCATTGAAAGAAACTCCTGAATGTGAGGAACGTGGAAATAAAGGGCGGAGGCACCTTCAAAAAGAATGTTCGCACGATTTCCAATGTAATCAACCAGATGATTCTTCGTCCCACAAGCGTTTGACAGAAAGGCTGAAAAGACATCTTCAACTCCCGACTTGTCACATCCCCGGTGATGAAAGGCCTTACTCGATATCCTGATGAGTCTTGTGGCGCCAGATTCTGATGTTTGCAATGTGTGTGCATGCCTTCCTGATGTTGTAATATCTTCAAACGCTTTCAGGGCTTTGTCCACTTCTTCAGCGAAGTTTATTAGGGGATGCATTTTACAGAAAAATTTCCCGAAGTCACTTACACAAGCTTGAACATCACCTGGAAGCTGATTCCACTGTTTGACAACTTGAGGAAGGAGGTCCTGACGAAGTGCTCTCAACCTATCATTGAATTGCGGCATGGTAGCCCCTTGATCAGTCATTGTTGACTTCACAGTTGTAACCAATTCCTTGTACATGTCTTCTTGATTACCACCCTCAAGTTGAGCGAGAGATGAAGCCAGTGTGTTGATTCTGTCCTTGAAGGCATCCATTACAGCTTCAGTATCACCTGCAGCCATCTCAACTAAGCCCATTGTTCGCGATGTCCCATCTGGCAATGTCACTTGAAAATTTTGATATTTCCGATGATGTTTGGTAGTACCATCTCCGTGAATGCAGTTTCCAAGTGCTTTTTCTGGTGTTGCTGACTTCATTGCCAGGGCAACTTCAATCGTTGCTAGATGGTTTGCTTCCACGGCCAATCTCGATACTGTCCCTGCCGAAGGGAGACGCCCGATGTTTTTTCCAGTCAAGTTTTTGATGACAGTTCTAATGACGGAAGTAACCTTCCGTAAGGACACATTCTGCGCCAGCAACTCCATGATAGTTTTGCGGATGCAGTCGTTATATCTACCATTTTCGAATGTCATGATGGTATTGTCCTCCATTAAACCTATCACTTCCTCCAATTCCTTTTCCCTCTTCTCTAGGAACGACACTCTCTCCTTCAGGTCCATCAGATCCTGCACGTCTGCACCAGATGTATGTCGTCGCCGGAGATACCTGGCTTGGTCATAGACCTTTCTCCGAGATTGGTTGATATGCTTGGAATGCGCTTCCATGGATTGCACTCTATCTTTTGATGAGCTGAGTTGGTTTCTGTTTTGTTCGAGATCTTCTTTTAACTCTTTGACGAGAGTAGATAATTCTGAATTATCATCCTTCAGCTTTGTTATGCTTTCATCTCTCCTTTTGATCCTCTTGTTAACATTCCTGGCATTTACTTTTTGAAGTTTTCCTTGACATGCTACAAGTTTTTTCTCCAATTCGAGCAGTTCTTTTTCTTTTTCTTCATACTTTTTCTTGTATGCGTTCAGTTCCTGACAAGTTGGATCGAACTCTGCAGTGATTTGCTTCATCTTCTTGCACAGGAATACAAAACTATCCTGTAGCGTGCTGAAATCAGCAATTTCTTTCTGTCTTGCTTTGCGCATGTCGAGCTCCTCCTCTAAAAACTCCAGACGATGCCTTTGGTCTTCTATTGTTCCTTCCATTCCTGCCAATTTCCGTTTCACTCCTTTGTTGTCTGTCTTGATTTCAGCGATTTGCGCTCTCATTTTCTTCTTCCTAGGTGTGTCTGGCTCCTTCAATTGCTTGCTTCTCAAGACTAAGAATTCCTTATCTAGAAGACTTGACAATTTCTGTACCTGTACAATACCTTTAGCATTTTTTTTAATATGTTTGTACTTTGTTACAACCTCTTTAACATAATTACAAACTTTATGGTCGTTAGCAGAAACACCACCTAACTTGATCAATATTCTAGCAATTCCCATATTTGACATTCTATTCTCTTTCAAGAAGTCGTACAGTTCTACTACTAGACCATTTTGCAATTTCTCCACAGTGGGCAAATTCTCCTGTCCCGTGAAGAGGTCCCGGTGAAGATCCATGGCTGTACAGTATGGCCCAATATCTGCAGGGGAAAAACATAAAAGAGAAAAGCAAACTATTAATTTATGAATCATATTATGTCATTTATTGTCAAGTCAATAGCTTTAATTTAGTAACTGAGTAATTGTTGTGTCATATGTGTATTCATTGTGATTGTTCTGCCTATTAAATTAATACAAATGCTTATTTACTGATGAGGATTGGATGAGCATAAAATTTGAAAACATATGTATATTCCATTCATCATAAATCACAGATTCCAAATCAGATGTTCATTTAATTTTGGGACGATTAACCATAATAAAAAACAGTGACAACAATAATTACCGTTGCTTCCTCCGGGGATTGCCGTCGCTTGAGAAGCTGATGATCCGGCCGCTACTCCAGGAGCTGATGACCCCGCTGCTAGTGCTACAGGAGCTGTTACTGTTAACAAAACAAAATTAGAAAAGATGAATAATATAACACCATTCTTATTTCCTTAGTGTATTTTGTCATGATAAATACTACTATAAAGATTCAAGGCAACAATTATTAATTAAAACTAAAATGTTCATTTAATTCATGCATGATTTACCATTTGAAAATAAACAGTGACAACAATAATTACCATTGCTTCCTCCTGGGATTGAAGTCGCTTGAGGAGCTAACGATCCTGGAGCTGATGATCCCGCTGCTGATGATACAGGAGCTGTTACTATTAACAAAACAAAATTAGAAAAGATAAATAAATTAACGCCATTCTTATTTCCTGAGCTAATTTTGTATCATTATCCAGATTGAGGGCAATGAAATTGAGTTAACCAACAACAAACTAAATGAATTAAAACATAGACTCTTTGTACAGTATAATATAAGTTGGTTACCAAATTATCTTCAACACTTAATATTATTTCATTAACAAAAATAAATTAATCTAATTAATTTATAAAGAATGAAAGATGATACCTACCTTCAGCTTCATCATGTTCAAGATTAGTCCCTGACAAAATCCCCTCGTCTTTAGCCTCATCCATTGCACTTGCTGGCTCCTCTGACTCTGTGTTTGCCATCTACAAATATAAAATAAAACATTAAAAATCAATCAAAGAAATGTTCACATAACGTTCATTTCCGAAACAAAACATGTAATGTAATATTGTCATAATAATAAGTAATGCCTCCGGCCCCTTTGTTAGCGAAGGCACAATTATTTTTGAGAAGAAAAAAAAATTGATTATTTATAATTACTGTCTAGAATCTATAAGGTAGTCTACTTAATGTAGTTCGGTCGAACTTGAAAATTGATTGTAATTTTGAGTACTTTCATAACAATTTTTAAAATTAGGGTCTACAATAAGTTATGTAACTGATTATCCAGTTCAAGAAGTAACAATCAGTGAAATATTTGAACAGAAACATTTGGTTAGAATAACAAATAGATCTAGACTAACATTAATATGCACATTCATTGACAGTGATTTAGTTTTCAGCCGGGTTTTCAGACAGGTGGAGGAGGTAAATAAATGAGAAATGGATCAGTAAAGAAGTTCCACACAATAAATAAAATATGTTATCAACGAGAATCTTGCGCAAAGAACATAGATTTCACATTATTTATGATCAGAAAACTGCTAGGGAGTACAGAGAATCGTGGAGAAATGCAACTATAAACTCAAGCAAACGTAACATTCAACGTATGGGACTAGAGTGAGTTCACACAAGTGGCGCAAGAATAAAATCCGGAGGCCTCAATTCCGTCCTTAAAATTGTCTTATTCTTTTAAAAGTGGCATTTTGTAATGTTTATATGACCAAACATACATACCATGTAATATTTTGTCTCCAAAATAACGAAAAAGTCACAAGATCAACATTTTATCCGATTTGTTTCAAGAATTTTCCGTCAAAAATTTATCGTTGTTGTGGTAAATACCATTTTTTCACACAGGTAACTATCGCATTTATCTGGATTTTTTCCCGAACCGAACTTTAAATAAAAATATAGAAATGTGCTTTAAATGTTACCAAACATAATCAAAGTCCTTAATTATCTACTAGAACTAGTTAAAACTCGTGGAATTTCGCTTAAAAACGTAAATATTTACGTATTTGTCATATTGTTGAATTTAACACCCCCACCCGAAAAAATGGACCTGCCCATGTGTCTGTGCAAGCTCAAGCGGTCTTCGCACAGCTCGCTCACGACGAAGCTCAAATTCGATCGTTTATTTTCATGAATCGGGCCTTAATAATTGTTTTTTCCGCTCTTCAAATTTGATAAAACATCGACAATGAATACATTTTCTGAATCAGCAGACTCTATATTTTCATACTCACCATCCTAAGTTGGATGCAGATTACGGGAAAATGATGAAATCGTAGCTTTTAAAACTTCATGGCATTGTTTCGTCAGTTCTCCTTGCACTACAAACACTTAGGTTATATCAGCACGGAGGGCACTTTCTCGGCTTCAATCGGGTATGTTCGGATTTTATTTGTCAACAAATACTAAGAGCGGGGGAGAGACGAAAGGAGGCGAAGTCTTAACGATGTTTTCCGAAAAGTACGATATTGCGGTGCCTTCGCAACGCTCCGTGATTTTTAGAGCGAAGTTGTGTGTGGCTACGGAGTTTACGTAATAATCGAAAGACACACAGAGAATACTACACTTTCGCTCTCTCGATCGCCCAGTGCGAACTCATGACGTCATCACTCTGAAACCCCTAACTTAACTGTGGCAGGCCATTCATGCCACTGGTTGCTCTCACTATTCGTCTCTCAAGGGACGTCACAAATTTATAGAATTTAATTTTTTTTTATAGTTCATTAAAGAAGAAAAAAAGTTACTTACATTGTAAACTTAAGTTATATTTAAGACTTCTTTTCTTAAACAATGGTGAGAGCAAACAGTGGCATGAACGGCCTGCCATAGTTAAGTCCAACTTGAAAGTCGATATCTTACTCTTTGTGAAACACTTCCCAGGTCTTCTTCCTTCCTGTGTTTATAATCTATCAATGTTTTAACGATGTGGGCGCACAAAGCTGTCACATGGTTACAAGCAGCCAAGCCAAACCAATACATCTTGTGCGTCTGCTGGCGGAGATTGAGTGCACACAACTTTACAATAAGTATGTCTTCATCAGCTAGAGATTGCCAAAAAGGTCGCTATTTCTGATTTGGGAAATAAGCCCAAATTTACAAATCGCATCCTCATCAGCTCTAGACTCACCTTGAAACACTAAACTTGAGCTTGGAAAAATTTTGCAAACTAGCCCAAGATATCTTGGAATGATTATCTCGACCTAATATCCTGCTAATTTCAACTGCAGGCTGATGAAGACGTAAATCAGTTGGATAATTTGCGATTGGGATAGTTAAAATAGCGGGTTATTTGGCAATCTCGAGCTGATGAAAACAGGCTTGAGGAGTGATTTAACTCTAGAAAGGGAGGAGTCGACGAAGCAAAGAATGAGACACATGATATCCTGTAATATGCAAATGAAGAGCGGTTTGTGTGTTGACACTACAGGCTTTGCCATTTCAGTGCCTGATTCTCTAATGAATAATTATAGTAAAAGGGCTCCAAATTCTTACATTTGTAATTTCAGAATGTTGAGGGTGCAAAAGTACAGTAAATCATCTGCATATTATGTGCTCATATTTGATAACTCTACCTTACAAGTATGAACATCATTTGTCGTAAATTGTGAAAGACTGGGCCCACAGTCAATGCCATTACTTGCGAAAAATAACACCACATAATGTTGTTTAAGACATGTCACCATCCAAACACCCGGCCGTCTTGTGATTGCATGTCTTATATCAACCAACCTAGTAGTCTGCAAACTGACCCCCTATGTGAGGCAGTCGACCCCCTACGACAACAAACCCCTTTAATAGAAACCTAACCAGTTATAAACATGTACATGACCCAAAACTGAGAAATTTAGTTGACATCTGGTATGGATTTCCTCTCGTCCATCTTGAACTTGGCTGTGGGCATCTTTCATCAGCTAGATGGCATGCCGAGCCCACCGTGGGTGTTCTCAAAACACCAACTTGGTTATTTCCTGGCCTCAGGGGAAAAAGATTGATTTTTTTTTTTGTGGTATTTTTTTGTAAGTGAGAGGTGTAAATTAATGACAGCAGACCCACCAGCAGGGCCCTCAAATATACATTTAAAAAAATATATTTACACATTTTGAAAGTGACCTGAGAATTTGTATGATTAGTGAATTACCTGATACAGTGCTTAAAGTGTTTGTCTTGATGGAGAGGTTGGGTAGAGTCTGATGTGGAATGCTAGATCTTAGACCTGGATTATGAGAAAAATATAATTATTCATATTCATTGGTGATACAGTTTATGATTATTTCGTTGACAGTCTTAAAACATTTTGTATCTATATGTAAATATACAATGTAGTTGCCATCTATGTACCTATGTTTGTGGCAATAAAATTAGGAAATGAACAATGTGTACAAAAAACCAAATGTATTAAAGTTGATTTTTTAAAAAATATTCAGGTATCAAATTCAATATTTGATTTTGGTGACAGTTCATTCAGTACATTTTTAACAGTACATTTCAACCATATATATACAAAATTACATTACCCCGAACGACCAGGAAATGAATCAGTTTGGATTCATTGTGAATTTGGTTTGGCAGCGGGACTGCATGAAACGTCTGTTTGGAGCCAGAAGGGCATTAATCTTATATACTTTTAACACAGTGTTAACACCCTTCTCTCTCTGAACAGACTATACTTACAGTAGGAATCAAAATAAGCATACATGTAGTCTCAACAGATTTTGAATCTATATTCATTCAACATATTCAAATCATTTTCTTTTAACACAGATCCCTTGAGCCAGGTACATACATCAAGCGTTCAGCGGCCAGTCTCGCGTCCAGCCATCGCTGTGGAACCGTCGGGGCGGGCAGCCACGCCGGCCTTGCCAGCCGAGACCGACTTGGGAACGTCCCGACCACCATGACCATCTCTTTCGGTCTCACAGCCGTCGGCATTCTGTGGTCCATCGTGTCCATCGTTGCCACGATGGCCTCGTCCATCGGCCTCTTCATGCCCTATTGGATGCGCGGCCACATGTTCAACGGAACCCTACCCGTCCATTTCGGTGTCTTCCGTCGGTGTAACTACCCGACAGCGCCCAACAACTACGTCTTCGACTGCGGACATTATACGACATTCGGGGACATACCCACGTTGACGTGGAAGATTTGTACGATTGTGATCGGACTAGCCTGTATTGCCTCTATGTTTGTTGGACTAACATCGTTATTAGCCTGCTGTATGAGGGACCTGGTCACGCGGAAAGTTGGCAAAGTCTGTGGAGCTATTCAATTTGTTGCAGGTAAGATATTGAACAGTTTTGTCTATTTTCAATTTACTATGTTGAATGCTATTAAATCTATGCACATGTATCGACATACTAATCCCATTCTCGCAATTTATAATATAAGAAGCCATACAAGTTAAGGGGAAAGATTTGACTGCAAATTGCACATACTGTACATTTAATTGGTTTTACTTGTCTCTTTTGTGTTATTCATGACATGAATTGACATACTAATAACTAAGAAACCTCACCAAATGCCTGACATTTATATCAACATTGATGGGACATAAATGCGGTCAAACCGGTCAAGTAGTCCAGGAATGAAATGAGCTTCTAGAAGATTATATGGTACAGTTGTACGTCAAAATCGACAAAACACACGCAAGAAGACATTCATAAAGAAATGAAATGGCATTAGGCTGCCATTATTGTTCCGTGAAATTGTAGTCGAAGGGAGACCAGATGAAGCAATATTGCGCTGTGTACTCCTCATCTGAAGGATATTGAACCATGATAACATGTAATAAAACATGTCCCGCTTCGGAATATTCTCAACTTCGATATATTGAGATGCAGGATAATGTTACTCAGAATGTGGGCATTAATGTTTCATATCTCCAAGTCTACGGTTGTCCTTGTATACAACTGTATATATATGTATTTATGGACATTTATCTCCCCAGGGCATTTGGATAACATACATAAACATTTCAAAGAAAATTATTTTATTGCAAATCACAATCTGTGCGCCTGAAGCCATTTTCAGTCAGCATAGTTGATTTGAGTCTGAATGTATCATAAATTGCATGTTTAGTGTTTGGGGGATATTCAGACTTGTAGACATTTAGATAATGGAATGAGGGGAGGAGGGGGAGAGGGATGGGAGGGGGGGGGGGAGAAAAGAGAGAGGCAGATCGAGAGCGAAGAACAGGAGAGTAAAAGAGAGAGAGAGAATTATACATCAAGAACAAAATACTGTTTGGGAATATACAATGTACATACATATTCCAAGGTTTTTAAAAGGAAGTTAACATAGAGCCTATATTTAATGGGAGCTAAAAAATTGAATGTCTAAAAACAAATAGAAACAAAACAATAACAATAGTGTATGAGAAGTTGTGTGTAAGTGGAAGAGAGGGAGAGAGGTGTGGGAGAGGCAGACAGAGAGGGAGAAAGAGACATACAGACAGATAGACAGACAAAAGAAACGGTAGACAAATTACCAGTACATGTATATACTAGACAGTAAGGGACAGAAAGATTTATCTATTTCTAATGAAATTAAGGAGAGAGGGAGATGAAGTTATCAGGAGATAAAGAAAGAGAGAAGGAGAGAGAATGACAAAGATCTACACGTACATGTAGATGTAGCAAGTGTGCATGCCATAGTAGAGTGGAGACAAGAACCTGAAGAAGAAAAGAAAGTATCCTGAGTTGATTGGAACATGTACTTAGCTTAATGAAACCAAATTGATTTTCCTAGATTAAAAACATCGTGATGCCTCTACTCCATAGATTATTCTTGACAGCCGTACATTCTGTACCATGATTGAGAAAGGATGTAAACAACATAAATGTCATTAGTGTGCACATTGTAAAGATTGTAACGTGAATGCAACATGACGTATCATAACTGGTTTTAAAAGTTCATGTAAGATGTGTCTTAAAGGTAATACAAAGTTTTGGTAAATTTTGAAAATTGGCTGGATAGTGATTCTTTACAATTTGTATATATTTGGATGCCCATGTCAGTGGATGTATTATAAGCACTAGAACATTTAGCTCCTAAAACACTTCTGCTTTTGAGAAAAATTGATTATCAAAATTTACCGATGCTCCCATTAAATTTTGATAAATTTCAAATTGCGCCTACGGCTGTACAATGGTAGCTGCGACCATGAAAATCTTAGAATATGTAGTTGTGATATATAATTTCCGAACGGAATAGCCAATCAGTCGATTATAGTCAAGAAACATTGTTTTATAGTTAAATTAATATCTTGACCTTGAGAGGGAGCTACACAATTGTATCACTTTAGACTCCATTTCAACCGCGGCAACAATCATTAAATATTGTAGGATCATGCTTCCAATATGTTCATTCAAACAAAATTTATGACCCCATACCAAAACTTTGTATAATTACCTTCAAAGGCACTACTTTACATTAAGAAATTATGAGGGGAAATCATTCTTGATTTTAATTGAAAGCTAGAGAAATTGGGCTTTAATTCCTTTGAAATTCATTATTTGTTATGTATCTATGATTTTAGATTTTATTCATGGTCAATTTTAGTCATACGCATTAGCAATAAAATTATTGTTCTCTTTTGTTTATTTTGCCCTTACAGGTAGGTCATTGATTAGTCTTTTTCTAGAATTCTTATAAAAGGCATTTGTCTTTAAATAGGGATCATACAGCAGTGTTTCTTAGCAAAAAAAGTAGCAGCATGTCAAGTGGCTTAGCTGGGGTAAACTCATCTTAAGATTTTCATTATGGATTATTATAAAGTTCAATTTTACTCCAACTTACTCCAGCTTAGTCCAAACAATGCAATAGCTCTAATATGTTTGATCATTTTATGTTTCATTTAAAAACAGAGATACATGTATATGAATGTATGACTATAGTCAACTTAATATGCAAGAAAAATCACACAAATTATACCACATTCACATTGAAATAGGCCATGTATCGGTGTATTGATATAAAATATTTAGGAGACTTTAATCTTCTTGACTTTAAACCCACAGTACGGTATAATACTCAACCTCAGATTTATCAATTTAGGCTACCGGTATACATTTACATTCCCCCATTTACTGTTGGGGATAATGTATTTCCTATTTTTTAGAAAAACATGAGCAAAACGATACATTTTTGTGTCATCTGAATGACGTTATTCAAGCATTCTTGCTGCATCATCAGATGCCTAGATCGAGAATGAAGAGAGCAGTCCTCTCTTGATCCAAACTTCTTCATTCATCGGATTATTATCTCCCTAATCCCGGAAAAGTTCAATTCCCTGCACTGTTCACCTTTATTCGAGTAATCAAGTCTTCAGGAGTGAATATCAATTTGCTTTTTTGGTGGAATGTTAACTGAATTTGTCCCGTTCCCTGTCCCGCGACGCAGTTGCCGTTTGGCAATCACGGGGGAAACATTGTTTGCCCGACGGGATAATTTGACGGGCAGTTCCAAGGCACTCAGCACGGAATCAGACGTCAAATCTAATTTGCAGCGGCGTATCTTGCGGTGAGGGATGGGAGAGTGCCTCAAAAGACCATTATCCAATTCACCAGCATCTTTTAAGTCTCAAATGGGATTGAAGATATTCTTAGTCACAGACGCACCTGCACCCTTTTCATACTCACTGCTGAAGAGGGTTAAGTCTGGACTTAAAGCTAAACTTTAGTACTGGTAATGCGATTGCATTGTGAAAGAAAAGGTGTGAAAGGATCAGAAACAGTTGATCATGTAGCATGTAAGTATTGGTGTGCACTGCAAGGTTCTGGAGTCATCAAAATCATAATAAATTTGACCGAGTCTTGGTAAAGTAACAAACACTCACATAGAAAGCTATATATGGGACAACACACATGGTGTCGGGGATGGTAATACCTTGGTTTCCTTGTCTTTCTATGCTCATTACTCAGCCAGTATACATTTTCTTCCAAAATTGTTTGGCACATGTCATTTATTTGTAATCTTGAACATTCAGTGTAAGTTTCGTTTGATTCTGTGAGAATTAATTTTTTTTTTTTACCAGTACTGGAGTTTATCTTTAATCCAAGGTGACAGCATGGCCTACAGTATACCCACTCGATCTGGATCACAAATCTTTGCTACCCATAACTCGTCAAATCTTCTAAATCTCATATTTACGTCAGTGAAAACAGCACTTTTGCTATTAAGAGAATAAACATGTATACTAGCTCTTTTTTATGGTTACACATGAGGTATTGGGTAATATTCCCACACATCCTTTATTTTCCCCATTAGCCTGTCATATAGTCATACATTTACATGGACACAGCATCAATTAGGAGATACAAGTATCGCAATCATCATCATGTTATATGGGGATACCATTCATATCTTGAATCTTCTTCTAGTCTGGAATAAGTCAGGACTCAACCTTCTCTTGATGCAGGTAAGGAAGCCTGCAATGATTATGAATGGCCATATTAGCTTTGGAGTCCTGCTTGAGTCCTGACTTGATCCAGATTCAACCCTCTTGTACAATAATATGAAAGGGGCCTTGGAGATGATTCTTAGAGGTGCCAAGATTGCTTATCGGGGTTCTAAGTTACTTTACGAACCCAACGCAGAGAAAAAATGGACACAAGTAGAGAGGGATTTCCTGCAGACCCCCCTCCCCAGCTTGATCTGCATCAAAGAGAGTACATGAAGAAAAAAAATCTAGACTGAAAACATGAACAGCCCCAATCAAAGCTCATAAAGTAAACTATGATTGAAAGCAGAACAAATTTGAGCAATGTAAGCAGACAGAAAAAAAAATTGGGTGCTGTGAACAATTTAGCTCATAAATCTCTAAAAGAGCTCTCAGAAACTAAAAAGATATAATATGTAAAGATAATAAATTTAGTTAAAAATATATTGTAGGCCTACATTAATCAATGCAAGAACATTTTATTTTGAGAAATATTAAAAAATAGCTCTTGGGATGAATAATATCGAACTCTAATTCATTTATGGGAAATTGAACTTCTTCCAATATCGTCAACAATTTTGTGCCTTTTTTCATTCCAGACATATTTTGTCATACCACCCCATTTCACCGGGCTAAAACTCACTTACTCAAGGATCAAGAAAATGTAATAACACTATTCAAAAAGATCTCTTGGTGGTCTATACAATGCCAGTCTGTGAAAAGCCTTGTAGCATAATTGGCGAGATGTTATTTGTAGCTTGTAAAGAGCTGCATTAGAGCAGTTTTGATTGTGAGGAAAACCACAAAGCTCCTTCATTCAGATTAAAATTGGATTTCATT